ATCCCCTCCACGCAGAGTACTACTGGCAGCCCCCCCAAATCGGCCTGGCTTGCCCTCCTCCTCTCCCCCGACTCAGCCACGGGTGGGAGAAGGCAATGGGGGTAGGGGCTTGCAGCCGGCCCCCACGTGCTCAGGGCAGGACAGGTCTCCAACCCAGGGAGGCACCATGGCCTGTGGGAGCCCAGCACCCCCAGACGAGGGGTGGTGGTGGGGGGGAAGAGGTGGGCAGAGGGTCGACGTACCCCAATCGCCGCGTTCAGGTCGGTCATAGTCACCTGCTTCGCACGCTCCACGGCCTGGACCACCTGCTGCTGGTGCTGCGGGCGAGGAGCGCATCAGCGCCGGACCACGTCCCCACCACTGGCAGGGCTCCGGCAGCCTCCTCTCATCAGGGCACGGTGCAAAGCCCCTCCAGCCCGGCCCAAAGGGCAGGGGCTGGGGCGCTGAGCAGGGGTGCTCCCCGTGCCCTGAAGGAGCTCTGCGTGCCCGGCCAGGGCCCCAGGGGCTCACCTACCTCCTGAGACAGGAACGGGATGAGCTGGGCGCAGATCACGTTGAGCCGCTTTGCAATCTCCGTCTGGCAGAAGAAGAAAGGCAGCGCCCATCAGGATCAAAGAATCATCGAATGTTTTGGGTTGGAAGGGACCCCTAGAGGTCACCCAGCCCAACCCCCCTGCAGGAGCAGGGACACCTTGAACCACATCAGGTTGCTCACAGCCCCGGCCAACCTGGCCTGGAATGTTCCCAGGGATGGGGCCTCCACCCCCTCTCTGGGCAACCCCTGCCAGGGTTTCACCACCCTCATTGGAAAGAATTTCTTCCTTAGATCCAGTCTAAACCTCCCCTGCTTCAGTTTAAAGCCATCCCCCCTTGTCCTGTCCCAGCTGGCCCTACTAAAAAGCTTGTCCCCCCCTTTCCTCTGGGCCCCCTTGAAGCCCTGACCGGCCGCACTCAGCTCTGCCCGCAGCCTTCTCTTCTCCAGGCTGAACACCCCCAACTCTCCCAGCCTGGCCTCAGAGCAGAGGGGCTCCAGCCCTCGGAGCATTTTAGTAGCCCTCCCCTGGCCCCGCTCCAACAGGTCCCAACCCTCCCAGCCTGGCCTCATTCAAGAGGGGCTCCAGCCCTCGCAGCATTTTAGTAGCCCTCAAATGATGAGGGGCAGAGCTGCCCCCGCGCCACAGGAGACCCCTCCCGCCAAGGGCGGACACCCCCTCCCCGTCGCCACCCAAGCAACCACCGGGTGCTGGTGCTTGGCCCCAAAAGCTGCTGCTCAGCACCAAGGAGCAGAAACATCCAGGGTGGGGGACGGGGGACACGACCAGGAAAGCTCTCCTCCTTAACGCCACCCCCTCCAAAAACATGAGCCCAGCATCATCCATCCCCA